AATGAGCAATTCCTATTCCTTTAGTACTGGAGCTCTTTGCATTAAAAACATTTAAATAGTCTTCTCTTCGTATTCCATGGTACCTTAATTTCTTTCAGAGCATACTGATCTTGTATTAAGTGGGCACGTCTATATGAGAAGTTTACTGTGGAGCTGCCTAATTAGCTCCGCGATAGTCTCCACATGTCGCCCGATCAGGCCTCAGTAAATTAATAAACTCTGCTGTAGGTTAGCACTTGTACATACTATAGATATGCACACTGAGCGTTAATTGCACATGTAGACATGCTCAGTGGGTGCTCATTTGTTCCTTGAGATTTTCCTTTAGATAAATTACCACTATCCTTAATGAATCCAACCAACCTCTCTCTTAGAAGACTCATTCCCTTCTGAGATGGAGGCTCTCCAGACAATTTAGGCTTCTCTCCCTACAGCAACTAGGCTTACATTTCACAAGAAAACATTACCCTTCATTTTACACCATTTCTGTAGCCCATGCTTCAGTTCCAGGATCATCTTCTTTCCTCTGCTCTTGGGAAAGGACTGATCATTGCTCTTCCATGTTCTCCCAAGTAATCTGTAATCTGAGAGCCATCATATGCAGCCACATCTGCAGTGCCAGTACCCACCATCCCAGCAGAACCTGACCTGCTGAGTTCATAAGCCTATGCAATCTTTCAGCCACATCTTCGTTCTTGGCTGCAGGATGACAGCATGCCGTCTTGTTGTCATCCTGTAACTTGCAGAATGTTCTTTCCATTCTTAGCATCCAGTTCCTAAAGAAAGCTAATGAAAGCTTAGAATCCAAATGTCATGCTGGCCACATAAATAGCTTAAGTGGGCTGGGTGTTTGACATTTCTGATGCCTGATGATGAAATACAGTGCATTGCAGCACCTACATAATTACGGCAAGCCACAGGAAAACAAACGGGTCTGGTTTTAAATATTAGAGGTTGTGACTACACTGAACTATTATGAGAAGCTTCGCATCAGGGTATTACCACCTGTGGAAGCTGACTTTGTGGCAGCACTGACATAAAGAGAGAGTGGAATTTTTATCAACATGTCTAATCTTTCTTAGAGTGAATGTAGATGAGAAGGTGATTAAAAAAGAAAGCACCAATGCTGTCTCTTCAGGAGGGCTGCTGTTAGTGCCTGTGGAAGTGTAAATCTTCCTAGTTTGTAGCTTACTGGCACAAATTTAAAGGTTAGATTTTTTTTTTAAATGAAAGTTGATGCATTCATGTGACTCCAGAACTTTACAAAAATACATGTTATTATATGAGCTTCACAACACATAAGCCACAAGAAGAGATTCCTGAAAAGTCAGTCAAAATCTCTGGATTACCAGGAATGAACCTATGGCTGCCCCTTAGTTGACGGGACAAGCTTACAGAATACTTGAGACGAGGTCAAAGGCCTCTTCTCCACATGCAACACACACATTGTTCACACAGGCAAGTGTTCATATTGATGCCAGCACTGCTGCATTTGGTTGGAGCAAGCTGGGCACATCTATATGAGACATTTACTGCATAGTAAACTAATTAGCTGTGCAGTAAACGTTGCATGTTTACATGTGCACCCCCATTAGGCTGGAGCAAACTAATTTTCTCCTCAGCAGTAAAGAACTCCAGAGCAGTGCATGTGTAGATGTAGCCCTGACTGCCTGGGGCAAGAGGGTGTTTCAGTGTGGGGGCTGCCTGCCAGCTAGCCCCATACTAAAGCACCCTCCTGCCCCAGGCAGCCCCTCTGCAGCATGCTGAGTTGTGGGGAGCAGCCCCAGGCTTGCAGTCTGACCCCCAGGGTCCCTGCTAGCCCAGACTACTCTGACCTAGGTCCACGTGTTGCAGTCCTAGGTGCACGTGCAAATGGCACCCAAGAGCAATAAACTCTGGAGATTATTCATGCACCTTAATTGCATATGGAGACGCACCGGGCATGTCCTGGGTTAGGTCAAAGCTACACAGTTGCATTGAAGTGGTATGAAAGTGATGGTAGTGCAACCTCACTAATTGATTCTCACAAGAAAAGACTATACACCAATGATTACTCTCTGTAATAGCCAGTGTGCCTAATCAACACGCAATATTCAGTTACTATGGTTTGAGCTACCCAAGTGTCTAACTTTACTCAAGCTCCATTCTGTTAGGTGTAGCAAACAACAGGATTACCCCAGATGAAGCTAGAGTAGCTCATATGCCTGCAATGCACCAATCCTTCAATTTTGAACTAAAATGTTCAGCTGTAAAAATTGATCCAAAAAGTATTTTCATTAAACATTTTTAGCTATTCTTCAAAAAACAACTTTGAGTGCTTCCAAGTGGGACAGCAGGAACAGGGGAAACCTTGTACCTGCATGAACCTGCGCGCACATACACACACACCCCAGCCCCATACATTTTTGGGGTCTTATTAAAAAGGCAGTCTTATTATAAAATCAGACCTTTATATGATGTGGATCTTTAGTGGTAATGACAGGGAACCAGAAAAATACAAAGCATCCTAAAACAAAAGCAACTTAACTGGCAAGAACTGAGTTGAATTGTAGACTTTCCCCTTGGAGGCAGTCAACCACATAGCATTTGCCTATTACTGTGGCCATCATAGTCTTTTAAGCTACAAACAAAATTGGCTTTTTGTTGGCTCGATGAACATACACACACTGCCAGCAGAAAACTATCTTTATCATAGTGGAACCTGGCAATTTACAGATTCATAGATGTAGGGTCAGAAGGGACCTTGTAGATCTAGTCTAAACCTGCTCTCTAGTAACTTATGGCCGTTATTCCTTGTTACTCCGGGAGGTGCTTGGGGGAACAAGGTCTCTCCCAAACCCTGCTGGTCCCCCTGGTAAGTTTATAGACGGCTACCAGGTCCCCTCTCAGCCTTCGCTTGCGAAGGCTAAACAGGTTAAGGTCCCGTAGCCTCTCCTCATAGGGTCTGCCCTGCTGTCCCCGGATCATGCGAGTGGCTCTTCTTTGGAGCCTCTCAATGCTGTCCACATTCCTCCTGAAGTGCGGCGCCCAGAACTGGATGCAGTACTCCAGCTGCGGCTGGACCAGTGTTGCATAGAGGCAGAGGATCACCTCCTTGGCTCTGCTGTGATGCATCTGTGGCTGCAGGACAAGGTACAGCTAGCCTTACTGACCGTGTTCTTGCATTGTTGGCCCGTGTTCATCTTGGGGTCAATAAGGACTCTAATATCTTTCTGCCACCATGCTTTTGGGAAGGGAGTTCCCCAGCCGATAGGTATGCTGCTGGTTCCTACTGCCCAAGTGCAGCACCTTGCACTTGTCAGTATTGAATCCCATCTTATTTTCATTCAATTTAAGTTTCAAAACCTAGCAGACTCCCTGAAGCTTTGAAATATGAGAGCAAATAAAAAAAATAGCTTTTAGAGAAAGGAGGTTAGTGTGCATTTGGACCTTGTTACATGTTACACTTTAAGCTTCTCAAATGTTGTTCAGTGTTAGTTTTAGCTCGACTTTATAGTTACACTTCCTGGCTAAAAACCTTCTCTGTCTGTTCCCAACCTGCAGAGCTGACTTGCCCCTAGACAGCTGGCAAGCAAGGGCCTAACTAGGAGCTACAGCTGTGAATTGTCCACACAGAACAGGAAGGTGAAGGAAGGGGACACTGCATCCTGGGATGCTGAAGGATAAATTTGGGCGGCTTCTCTCTGGGGAGCGGTCGCACATTTGTGGACCACAAGTTCGATAACATAGAACAGAGATAAACCTGCCCTTGAGTGGGATAACTTTAAGACTCCTAAAGGGTGCTTAAAACTAGGTTAAATGTTTTAATGCATAGACCATCCATAGGTTAAGAGCCCTCTGAGTGGCCTAAAATTAATGTGCAAGAAAGCCCTTTTTTGCATATCCTGACAATTTACCTTACCTTTAAAGAAAGATGAGGAGGAAGGAGGAAATTAAATGAATTGCAGAAGTCCTGCTTTGAATTATTCAAGGGCAACAAGAGGACCCTTATCCTATTTTGGTTCTTTGAGGTCAAGTATTTCTAGGCAATCTGCAGGATAAGGATGACATTTTGGACAGGTCAGTGTCTTATAGGGTCACAAGAAAGTAGGGCTGGAAGGGACCTCACAAGGTCACCTAATCCAGCCCCTTGCTCAAGGCAGTATCATCCTTTTCTAAACTATCCCAGCCAAGTGCCTGTCCAACTTGCTTTTGAAAGTTTCCAAGATGCAGATCGCTTAGTCTCTTTAGGTAGCCTGTTCCAATGCTTCACCACCCTCCTCATAAAGCTTTTTTTTTCTCTTTGCTCCTTCTTGAAGATTTGCTGCTGCATCTGTTTCCAACTGCATACTAGGCTGGAAGGATCACAAGCCCAAATTCAGAGAAGTAGGGCATGTCCCCACGAGCATGCACGTGTGGTTTATGGCACCACAAACTGCATGATGTGCATGTGCACGTGTTTGTCTCACTGCTAATTTGCAGCGCAGCACTTATTTTTGACACCGGGAGATCCAGTGGTGGACAACAGAAGTAAACAGATTAACTATATGCATCAGTCATGAAGGTTGAAAGCCAACCTGCACCAATTGTGCAGATAGACAGCAGGGCACTCACCCCTATCTAGTAGCAGGAGGTAGGTATATGAATTGGGTTCTTCATTTAGGATTTGACTCTGCTCACATGAAGCAAGAGAACAGATACCTGTCCCATTTGATTTTTCTGGCTGAGAGGAATAAAACAGTTGATATTAAGCCTTATTTATATCCATGCAAAGATTCTACTTGCATTTTCTTTCAACTGCAACAACATTTAATAACTGGCCTAAGAACCTACAAAGAACAGAATCTGTTGGAAGCCAAAATTATTTTTAAATCTTCCCTTCCCCTTCTCTCCTCTCCCTTCCCCCAACATGCACATAATCTGCCTCTTATCCTAAAAAGATAGAACATGCCTTCTGAATTTTTAAACTGTTGGTGCAGATCATAGCAATAGAAAGGCAAAGAATGTAAGAACAGCGCTCATAGCAATGAAGTCAGATTTTTTTTTATTGATGATATGCTCAGCACTGAATTAAAAAAGGACATTAATAAAACAGAACTTTAAACACATACTCAATAAAAGCCACATAGGCAAAATGAAATTTCAAGCTCAGTTTCCCAAGTGACATTATGCCTGCATATTTGCCAAACACTTTAAAGCTTTAAAATTTCCCTTTAATCACAGTGTAATAGTCTTCCATAACACACATTTGTGTCCAATTTTAAAATGCAACAATTTCCTGATTTCCCAGAAGGCACAATATTCAACAAGTGTCCTTTTAAGTAATTATAGATTTTTGTAGCAGTCATTTCATTCCAAGATCTACAGTTTTACGATTGTCCAAAGAAGAAAAAAAAAATACAAAACAAAAACCACAAAATGATTGCGTTTATAACCATGATGAATAACTCTCACTATTGTCAACTATTGTTTATCTAATGGCAATTGTATTCTCAGGCAATTTATGGCCAGCCTCTATACAGAAAATATAGGCCAGTCTCTGTGGATGTGTCTACACGTGCATTTACGCTCGCTTAAATTTACTGCACTAGGCTGGCGTCTATACGTGCAGGTGTTAAGGAGCATTAATGCTATGTGTGGACTGATTTGGGACTAAAGTTAGTCCCAAGTCAGCCCACACACAGTGTTACTGCACAGTAAGGCATCTACACGTGTTACTCCGCAGTAACTAATTGGGCATAAATTTGATACCTACATGATGCAGGTATCAAGTTTACGCTCAAGTTTGCATAAGTCGACATATTTACTGTGTAGTTGATGTGCACATGTAGATGTGCCCTGTATGTTGTAAACAAAGAGCAGTATTTTCAAGTGTCCTTAGTGATAGTGAGTGAAAACTGCTCACTTTTATTCCACTGAATCTCATTAAAGCTCATTCTTTTAAGATAGAAAGCACTGCAGTAAAATTCTCCAAGTACATAAACATAATCAATATGTTTTTATGGTTTCTCAACTGAGGCACCAGGCAGAAGAGCTTTACATTCACATTTTTGGAATAGGAGTTGCAGCCACTGCTATGCTTTCAATAGCGCATTCATCAGAGCCTCTGTGGATTCTGAAGTAACCATTTTCACCCCAGGAAGTTCCCCAGCTGTTTTTCACTATCCAGAATTTCTCACCGGTACCTGGATCTTTGCCATAGCCCACAAGCAAGACAGCATGATTGGTCAACTCAAAAGGGTTGAACTCATCCTGCAGCTGAGTATGATGGTAAATCCCTTCTTTATAGTACATGAAGTCACTATAAACCTCAAAAGCAACAGCCATTGGCCCATTTTTAATTAGTTCGAGCTTCATCAAGGCCTCATTGCAGCCACCATAAAAGCCTCCAACATAGCTGTATTCAGACACATAGTGGTGATAACAGTTCCGCTTGTAAACGCATGGAGAATCTGAGCCTGTGTAAGGGAAACAATCCTCCTCTACCACACCAAAGTCTTGGACATATTTTCCAGCGATGAGGTATGGGAAGCCACCATCACAACCTAAGAAGTCAGAAAGTATCTGGTTATTCCTCAGGGAGATTTTTGGAGTAGGAGAGAGAATGATCAGTCTCCTGAATTAGGTTGCAAAAAACATTTTTTTAAATTAGCTTAAATCTTTACTATCCCCAACATCTCAGATCAGAGTGACCACAGCAAATGCACATTAAAGTTGAAGACGATCATTCCCTTTCCCCAACCTTAACTTGGAAAAAGAGGAAAAACTGCTTAACATACCTCCAGCACAGAGAAGTGTTCCTGAGCCTATTCAGAAGATAGCCCAACTTCCCCTCTGAAACACAGCCATCTCCTACTCTACTTTTGATTAGGATGATGCCCTGTGAACTACAGCAACTGAATTATTTTCATGAAAACCTACAGTTAAAAAAATACCACATACTCCAGGTGTCATTATGGGAACTATGCACTTTCAGAAAAGGAGGGGGGGTAAGTTAGTCACTGTTTTTGCTTTTTCCTTTCCTCTCCACCTGCCTACTGTTTTGGCATACTTGGTTCCTTCCTCCCAAGGCCCAATATGCAACCTGGCTCTTTTAGTGACTCCCCTAGATATTCTGTTGTCTGCAGATGGAGTTCACATCCTGTATCCTACTTCACTATATTTCCCTCTGCAGGTTCCTTTCATTTCCAGCTACTGCTGCACACAGCCAGGCTGCAGGTGAAGAGCATGGATGCCTTTAAGAGTTTTTGTAGAATAAAAAGAGGAAGAGCAGATGGCAAATGGCCAGCCAGTCTCCCACCAGTGATTCTAGCCAATAGAACATGCCCAAGCAAACAGCAGAAGAGATGCTAATGAACCTGGAATATAGTCCACTCTGGTGTAGTCAAAGAAATCAGCTACCACAAAATATAGTCATTCAGTTTGACAGTCGAGAATTAACCACATTTCTCAGTCATGATGTCAACTTATTCCAACAGCTTAGGTTTCCTGCTTTCATGGAGGTACCCATTTCACAGCAAATGAATGATCTTTCTAACCCAAAAACCAAAGGCAGAATTAAAAAACTGGTTACAGATCCATCACAAGAGATTTCACTAGTGCACTTAGATCTGATGGAGTATTCCTCCTGCACCGCTGAATACTAGACTAACACTTTGGTATTCAATGCACTTACCTTGAGAATACTGGCTACAGGACACAATTTGCTGGGTACTAAAAACTGGTGTCTGGGAATTGTTGGTTAGGATGCGAATTCTTGCCTCCAACATGCCCATAGAAGCAAAGGAATAGCAGCTGCCACATGATGCTGGGGAAAAACAGGAAATGCAGTATATCAATAAACTAAGCAAGGCTGGTATGCTGCATGGACATGAACCTAGCATCACACCAAGTGAATTAAACCATGCTTGCTTTTTTCCCCCCTGTGTACACTATGGCCATGTCCAGATGAGAATGGCTGTGTGGTATATGGCACTGCAGACATGTCTGCGGTGCCAACGCCACACATTCAGGCATTCTCAATGCTGCAGTGTAGCAGTGTGGTATTTTTTGTTTGTTTGGGGTTTGTTTTGACCACTGGAGATGCAGGGGTCAAAAAACCTCTGCAAAATAAAGGGGAGTGGCATATGCATGGGTAGCACATGCCACCCAACACCTGGCTGGCCAGAGGCATCCAGCTGCTGGTAAGGCTCTGAGTGGCAGGATCACCGCTGCTGCAGCCCCGGGAGACCCCCAGGACCTCAGGTAAAGCTCAGGCTTCTCCTACCCCACCTGGGGTAACTTGCTGCACACAGGACGGTACATGGCATAGGCATTCCTTGGGGACAAGCAGCAGCAAAAGGCATGCACTGCTTCTTGTCCCCGGGGAAACAAGTGGATGCAGCCTATGACTGCAAGCTAGGCTTCAAAAACTCAGCAAGGTCTCTCAATGTACATTTAACCTTAAACATAGAGGTAAATATGTAGAGAATCCTTAATAAGATCAGCTGAGGTGATCAAAGAGAATGCTTTTTCCTGAAAGAAATTTAAATATGCTTTCTTATTTTAAAATATTAAAAAAAAAAAAATCATAGTTTTAATTAGCTAGTTCTGAAGTTTCATAATGTTCACATATTTACAGAAGGACACGTGCATTAGTAAGTCACACAGGATGCTCTCAATCAACTACTTCACAGACCACCCTTTACAGGGCCTTGGCATGCCTGGTACAATCTGTATCAAGTGAACTCTAGCCATAAGCAACAGCCCATCAGTCGTTTCAGAACTGTAAATTCCCCATATATTTCCACCTCTACAGCTGCTTTGAGAAGAATACATAAGAGTCCAGTAATGTAAATGCAATGGTTTGATGCAATGGATTTTTATAATTATCGTCCCCTAAGGAGCCAACAATTACATAGGCTTTCCAGAGGTACTTAGTTGTCCTCTGCTGCCAGGCAACTACAAGTTAAGTCTTCCTAGCCTCTGTTGTACACCAACATTTAGTGTCACCATTCAGTTTTCATGCTTTCATCTGATCGGCATTCTCTATAATGCACAAAGAACCTGTGAATGTGAGACTCACTGTGGAGGGGAAATTGCTTGGATGAGGTCTTATTCTGTCTATTGCTCATCACCAAGGTGCCTGATTGACTTACCTGCTGTCATGAAATAGAGGGAAATATGGCAAAGATTTAAAAAGGAAGGAGGTTTGGGGGAACAAAAAGACAAACAAAATACCTCGTCTAAATGTGTAGGTGGGTAACAAGCAGGGCTATTATAAAAGCAGGACTTTATGAAATTGTACTGTAATTCAAATGTGAACTTAGCTGCATCTCTGACAAGAAGGGGGTGGAAGGCCCTTTCTTAACATGAATGCTCTTTCCCAGCAGGGCTGATTGAAGTTATGAAAGGCCTCACCCACTCTTGCATAAATCAGAGCATCATTGGTTGCTTGGCCAAGCCACAGAAAGACATGTTTGCTGTGCCTCATTTACAAAGGTATGTTAAATGAAACAGCTTTGCCCTGAAAGCCTATGATACTGTGTTCAAGCCCCCCGCTCTTAAATGCAACAGTACACTTGTCTGAAAAGCCTCCAATATGAGCACCACACAAGTGGAATATCAGCAGAGATACAAAGATAATTGCTAGAGCTGTTGTATGTCCAATGCTTCCCACAAATTCAATTCCAAGTCAATTAGAGGCTTAACTGCATTAGATTCCACTGTGGCAAAGGATCATTAAGTTATGAATAATGACTGAAGAGTGCAGAATTTCAAAGGTGAGGAACCAGGAGGTCATTATCCTTTTCCCTACTCTGCACAGAAATTACAGGAGCTAGAACAGAGTTTTGAGAATTGTAGCTCCCCAGGTCCAATCTGTTACAGAGATGTATTTGCTCAGCAATATTTTCCAACAGTAGAAATAGATGGCAACATAACTTTATGCTACTGTGAACAAGATTATTATTGTGGGTATCAGTGGTACTTGCATTAACATTGCCTTTGATCTCTTATGAAGGACTGAAAGATTTGTTACTTGTGGTATGCAAACATATTCCCAAAACTTTTTAAAATATTCAAGTTGCAGTTTCAATGCAAGAAGCTAGAGGCAATCCCTTTGCCAAGAAGCAGTAAAGCAAGATCGACCATACTGAGAACAGTGCTTCAGGAGGTAAAAGCCTTGGATCTTGTCATGCTCACTGAGGAAAGGAAGACATTTATTTTGAGTAAATGGGAATATGTAGGAAGGACAGGTATAAAGAGAGTGGCTAACACTTGAGAACACTTGGGTAGGGGTTTAGATATTTCTTATTACTAACATCTTTGATTGTGAGCCAGTCTTCCCACATTCTCTCAGCTTTGGCAAGAGAGCAATGCTTTAAGGATATGGCTTCATTATATGGCGGACAGTATCCCATTTTCATCAATAGGAAGGTTTGGAAAACAGTAGCCCCAAACTAATTTTAAATCTAGACTAGAAATTATTCATAGATTTTCAGGCTAAGTAATCAGTAATAGATTTTCCCATTGTATGAGCAAGGAAAAAAGGTTGGCTTTCATTACATACGGGTGTCAGACACTTAGCACTGTTCACACTTCAAGGTTCAAACCAACACTTACTTCTCAACAGATCAATCACGTAACTATAATTGCCCCTAAAATGATTTACAGTAATGAGACTTGAGGGCGGTAGAAGCAATCCTTTAGAGGGTTATTCCTTAAACCTGTATGATAATTTGCTGTCAGCTGTAATTAGTGGAAGAATTAATAACTGAACTTGAACTGTATCAATTCTAATATTAGAGATACCAAAAATCCATCATTGTGACAGCTTGGACAAACAGAATTTGATGCAGATCACCATGCAAAGTGCTCTGGTAAATTACTTTCACTCCTCTAGTAATTCAGACGCTCTGATCGAAAGGAGTATCCTCTAGTTTGACAGGAAGAGTCAGAAACTGTTTCAAGCCCTCTTTAAGTACAAAGTGAGTATTGACCTTCCCTGCCAGCCACAACCAGTCGATTAGCAAAGTGGTTCTTTTTTCCAGGCAATTTCGTTATATACAGATTCACAAAGAAAATCTTGTACCTTGATTTCGCACAGGACTGACGTAGTTGACACCATTAACATTTCTCCAGTCCCAGGATTCTGGCAAACTTGAAGCTTGTTTAAGTATTTCAGGTGTTAGCGGTGCTGGCCTTGGTCTAAAAAGAGAAGAATACACTTCTGATATTAACATGTCACTGTCTAGACAGAAGACTATTAGAGTGCATAAAGCACTGACAACTCTAGGCCTTTACTTCCACAGCCTGTTTCCTAGCTCTACCAGTAGCTACAGTGAGCTGTTTGGAGTAGTGTCCACACATGC